ACCTTCATGGTGTATAATAGGACAGCTTTTTTACCCAGCTTGGCTCAAGGACCATTTAGCCTAACCCAGCCTAAGCCCACAGTTACATTCTGTTATGTTAACTGCACCCTACCTTTCAAATTTGCCAACCCCACCAGCCAAACCCTTTATTCCAGCCAGAATGTAGCCTGATTTAATTACAATCTGTTATGACTATTGTGTCATTACTACATGTTTCTTTTATTACATAAATGGCAACAATATTTAATGATGCTCTGAAAACATATTGGGTTATTCTGGTGTTTGAGGAGCAGTACAAATATATCAGATACCAAGTTTGTAAGGTGTTACTTTGAACTGCTTCTGGGAAGGGGCATCTACAAATATCCCCATGAAAATTGAGTTAGGATTTGTTTCATTAGTCCAGCACGAGCATAAGAAGAGCACATCTATGAATAACTATTTCTTTATGAAAAACACTAATTGAGCATTTTACTACCAGGCATATAGTTGTTATTCAGAAGAGTTTCTCACCTTGGTTTAAGTGTGCATGAGGTTATCTGTGGTAAGTCAGAATATCTATAGAGTAAGTTGCTTATACATTTATGCCATGCTCTTATTTCAGTGGCGAAGTGAAGACAGGGCTCACAGATCTGGGCTGGTATGTACGTGCTACACTTGTAGCATGTTTTGTGTTGTGTTCTGCGGCATTACAATGGCTGGCTCACAGCTGAGTCATATTATCTTAAACTTCTTAGAAGACTTTGTTTATATATTTGAAGACACCTGGAGTGCAATTGCTGAGAAAAGAGGTTTTTTTAAATCATTGAATTTTTTTTATAAATGTGTAATATGTCATCAGTTTTACATAAATTATTCAGTTACTAGAAGAGTATGCAATTTTTTTCTTGAAATTCACAAATCTCATCTCATATCAAAAGAAGTTTTAAATATGAAGTATTTGGTCCCACTGAATGGTGGAAGGTGAAGTTGTTTCTGCCGAAGTACCATAGCACGAAAGGGAAATTGTGGTATAGTCCAGGCATTCTTAATCTCTTCGTTAGGTGGAGGTGTATGGTTGTCTTCATGGTCTGGCACTGCTGGGGAAAGAGACCTGGTCTCCATTGGGTCAGAGGTTTGTTTGGCCCCAAAGTAGGTCTGGTTATTATTATGAAGAGTAAAATCTTACCTAACCCTGGTTTTGAAATCTAGTCAGTCACATTATTGACAGCTGTAATTTTCTCCCATGAAGTTATCCAAACAATAGACATTTCTTGGTGTCTGTTCAGAGGAATTTTTATTAACTTTAGAAACAAGGAACTGTTGCAGTGAACAGCCCTGATCATGCTGTGTTAATGTATATATGACATTTTATACAGATGGGCTTGTAAGTCACATATCTTAACAGTGAGAAGGTTTTAGTATGGACAGTATAGTCAGTTTGTAGATTACAAGATTGAAAAGTTAAATATACTATTTCAATAGTCGATAAGGAATTCATAATGTCCTAATGGAGTTGCAAGTTGTTCTAGTCATTTGTGTCACCAAGACTGATTCCCACCTTGGTTATGCAGCTTTGAGCCAGCCTGAGCACTTGAATGTATGCTAGTCTTATTGCAACATTTCTCTTCATGTGTGTAATCCACCTGACATGTTATGCACAGCATATTTTTCAGGTCATGTAGCTGTGATGTATTTGTTTTCTCAAAGTAATTGTTGGAATGTTACCAAAGACATTTCCCCCTCCCCAAATCCTGTTTCACTTTTCTGCATCACCATGTTGTCCTTAACCATTATCCTTGCATAAGAAATTCATTTATGGGAACAAGACATGTTGCACATACATGAAGTTTCTAATCCATTGTAATCTGAAGTGGTCTTTGTATCAGATTTTGGGCAGTCTTGCAGGTCCATACTAATGAGTCACAGCAGTTCTTCTGTTTCTGAACTTTGCAAAGCTTCATTTGTTTAATTTTTTAAATTTTTTATTTTGCTGGGTAGTTGTGGTATTACATTGCATTTTGACATTTTGGTGTATCATTACCTGAGGTCACTTTGCCAGATTTTTCACATTTTTATTATACAAGTACATTTTTGTGGGATTTTATGTTCTAATGACAGTGAAGATGTTGATGTTAGTCTTCCGTGTTATATGATTGTGTTGCCTTTCAGGTATTTATCAGTTACCTGCAAGTCTAGACAGCGTTACAACCCACAAGACCTTTATCAGCAAATGATGATACTAATTGTTTCTATGTATAATATACAGAGGATAAGAGTGGATTTGTTAAGTGACCATATTGATCTTGGGCAGGTCATGTGTTGTTTCTTGGTTGAGATAAACTAAATTACTTTTTTTTTCTCATCACTAGTAAGAGGATAGGTTAGCAATATTTTGCTATAGTTCCATATGAGCCATTGGTATCAGATCTTCATGTTAAATAGTACATTTTTCTTGGGGGGGGGGGGGCATGAAATTCTGTCTTCACTTAAAAGTATTATTTGTTGTTGAATTACCATGGTTTAGTAGTTAACACTTTCATGGGGTTGGTTACAATTCATAGAAGTAGTAACTATGAATTCTTTCAATTGCAACATGTAAACTATTGTGGCACTTCATTCCAGGTGCCTTTCAACTATGCTTGTTTGTTGTGTTTCTGTATCAGATACAGATGTTTTGTGTTATGATTTAACACTTTGAACCAATGGAATTTAAATCCAAATTATCGTCTTCAGGAGTGTATAAAATTGGGATGGTAAAAAAAAACAAGCCTTCATCATTTTTGTACATGTAAACTGAAATTTTCACACTTAACATGACAAGATTCACACTAGTGTTCAGATAAATGATTATGGTGCTCACATTTAGTGCTAGAAGAATGTCATTGGTACATTTCCTGATGTACCTAGCACAAATCCCAGTGTGTGTGTATGTGTGTTAACATAACACTTCAGAAACACATGATAAAAGGTAATTTAGTCTCTTGATTTATTTGTAGAAAGTGTGCAGTTTATCTCAATATTCTTGTCCTGCTCACATTTGAGGGCTATGTCTTGAAACGTATGCCTCCATTCCAGGGCTGAAGATGGAGGTATTATGTTCTTTACCATTGTTATTTGCCTACAAGTTTACATGATGTTACTATCCAGAAGACAAATTGACAAATATCAAAATACTTACTGAGATCTCTACATTGCATTTGCTGCAGTACACTCGAGTGAATGTCTTAACAGACTGATGTTGGCCATTGTCCATGCAGACCTTACACATATCTTGAATCTTTCCTATCTTTTGATCCTTTTACTGGAATCTTGAATGCAGAATGGTTGCTACCATAGAGGTCTGCACAGACTTGGTATCCTAAATATTCATACTGGTCTTCAGAGGCCAAAATAACCAAAGATTACTGGAATTTATGTATTAAAAGGAAATGTTTTAATGGTATGATTGTCAGGGCAGGTTGTAAATAGATCAGGTTTCATTCTGGCTGGAATAAAAGAAAGTCAGGCTTAGATGGTGTAACATATTTGAAGATAAACTTTGGCCTTGGGCCAGGCCTTGTGAAATTCTAAAATTTCAGCCTGTTCAGACTTCTGCCTTACCAACAAGTCTTCCTACACAACTTTCCTGAGACTGCTGTGTGATTTCCATTCACATTTCATGAGCACTGTGCCACCTATTCCAGGAATTGATAGAGTCTGGACTTCTGTTCTCACCTTATTTGTTGCAAAATGTGTATTTTTACCAGGGTGAGATCAAAGAAAAGAAAAAAACATATTCTTCACCATATCATTAATTTCCTGTGAAAAAAATATTATGATTGTAACTGGTCCAGTTTGTCAACATTTGTATTGTACAACATTGTGGACAGTGGTTTTGTTTTCTCAACAGCTTATGTTGATAATACATTGTTGCACTCTTCTGTTTGCTTTGTCCCCTCCAAATCTAATTTTTCTAAGTTCCTAGAAGGGTGTACTCATTATCACACCTCTACCACTTTCCCTTAGGTTATGCTTTCTTTATGTGACATCACTGTCTTTAAAACAATCCCAGAGCAGTGCCCCAGTATTGAAAAATTTCAGTTTGGATCACACTGGCTTGTTGCAGCCCTGGTTGAAATGTGCATTATGCTGTTTTTTGGAATGAAATAGTTATGCTATCAGTAGATGAATGTGTTTGTCAGAAGCTTGGATTGATGTTTACATTTATACTAATTGTAATTTCCTTCATTGTCACTCTTGTGTGTTGTAGTATGTACACGTTTATTCTGCTCTTATATAGTTGATATAGTTAACTGTAAAATTTTAAAATAAGTGTTAATTTGTATGTTGTAAATGGTGGTATGAAATGTTTGTCAGTATCCAAGTGTGATATTTTTGTCAGGTTTTGTTTACATGCATACTGGACAGACTGACAAATCAAAAAGCCAACACTATTCAGTTAATAATAATACAGTTCAGTAATTTTAAGTTGTAGTTACTTCACAGTTGCATTATGGTGGCATTTTATTGCAGCATTTGTCTGTGAGACTTCAAAGTTGACTGACTTTATGGACTTGGCTTGCCATCTATATCAAGTGCACATTTCTCGAGCTAAATGATGTGCATATTTTCTGATTCCACATTCTGGCACATGCACTTCATGTTTGGAAGCACTCTAATTTCAGTTCCTAAATTTGAACCATGGTACTAATATATTATTGTTACATGTTTAAATTGATTGCGTTATTTTAATTGAATTTGTTAAAGTTCTGAATTTTGACTCTAGGTCATCAATAGAAAATGTAATGAAGATGGCAACATGAAGTGCACATCCTTTTTTATCTTTATAATATCAAAGACAAAGTTTCTTTCATTCATTGTTTGGTATACAGTGAATTCTGGTCAAATGGGACACATTGGTACTAGATATATTTGGCTCAATTAAGTCGCTGCCCCTATTTCCACGTAAAGAGTGAAAAAGGTTTGTTCTTTAAGATTTGTCGCAAATAAACGGCCCCGATTAACTGTTGGCCCAATTAACTGGAATCTACTGCATTAGATTGTGAGTAGTAGGCACAGCACCATGTTCAGTGAAGTCTGTTAACACAAGTTATGTTTTTTTTGAAAGTTTGCTACCACATATTATTCAATTGCTTACATTAAGTGAACCAGTGTTTTTCCAACCTTGAAAGTTATGGTGGCTATTGTTTTGGTGTTATTTTCAGTTAGAAAATTACAAATTAAAAAGATAGCCACTAGTGGTATGGTGATCACACTAAGTATCATGTGTGTCAGTTGCTTAATAATTATTAGGTATGGACACATGGATGGACATAATGGTACCACAAGCTTGTCTTGTAAAATAATGAAAGTTAACTAAAATGTATAACTGTATCCTTTGTCGTTTTAATGTGAAAGTTTAGGAATTGGACTCCAAGCTCTCTCTTATTTTAGAGCTTGGTTCCAGCTGTGTGGAGGAAATGTTTTCATAGGTTTGTGCACATACTACATTAACTTAGCTGCATTGTTAGTACATCTGTTATATGTTAATGCTTGGAAGTGAGACTTGTTTCTTTGCTTTTTTCAGGCATCGCGGTCAGTTGTAGGAGAGGTCAAGCGAAGATTGGAGGATTCTGATGATGATGATGTTCCTCTTATGGCTAGGAAGAAAATTAAAAAGGAGTCCAAGAAACAAAAAGAAGAGAGTGATGAGGAAGAGTTCAAACCTGTGGTAAGTTACAAGGATTTTTTGTGCTTATTAATAATTTATTTTGATAAATGAGAAATAAATGCAAAATGTTGATAACTACCTGGAGGTAAGAAGCCACTTCTGAGATTTAGGCATAGATGGAGGGATGGTATTACAACTTACATTTGAGATTTTTTTTTATCCTATGCCAAACTTAAGCCTCTCAGCCATTTCTGGCAGCCCAATACAGATTTGAATCGGTGATAAAACCAGTGAAATTTTGAGCAGTATTAATGTCTATGACGTCACTAAGACCTGGGCACATAGTGAGGTGGGTTCCAATCATATCCGAAAGTCCACATAGTGGTCGAGTCCTACATTCCAATTCGATGAAGATGCTTCTGAAGGTAGTCATGACCTGTAATCATCCTGAAGAACGCAGCTCTTATAGCTCTGGGTAAATCCTGAGGATTCCGTGAATTAATCAAAGAGCTCCAACTTTTTCGTATAATATTTGTTTCGTAGCTTCAGTGTCTAGACATTTTTATCTTTCAATTTATGATCCTTTTTATAGTCTGGAACTCCATGGGTGTACTAGGCTGGGGTAAGGCAGATCCAGCATTTGTGTGTTTTGAGAAATTTTATGTAAATGTATGGACTCCGTTCTAGTAGTTTGAAATAGGGTTTAGTGGCAGGCTTTTGTGAACATTATAATTAGCATTAAGGTTCCATAAATACAGGGAATGGCTTTGTTAGCTGAGTAACTATCAACTGTTTTGAATGAGATTCTGCTCCATATTAGCTAATTTGTATAATTTTATTCTTCCTATAGAAGAAAAAGTCTAAGAAAGGAAATGTTAAGGAAGAGATAACACCACAGAGCAGTCCAAGGAAAAAAAAGAAAGAAGAGGAACAGCAGGAGGTTTGGAAATGGTAATTTCATTTCTTACTCTTAAGTTTGTATTTTTGTTGGACTTGTGGCAGTGTTTTTAAGTCAATGGGTTATTCGTGTTTAAGTGGGAAATTGAGAAATTTGAATCTTGCCACAAGGTGGCAGCACATCTCCAGTTCAAGATGGTGGCTAAGAGATACATGAGTGGTATTCATACCCTTGAAATTTTTTAGTTGAGAAATGACTGGCTATAGGCTATTATTAACCACAAACTTGGGATGGGAAGTGTATTGTTTGAAAAATGGAAGGGTTTGTTAAGAACAGTATATAATGTGTTTATGCAAGTGAAACTAAGAGATTTTGATCATTCTATAGGTTATGGTTTTACAAGGTTTAAAAGTAATAAGGTGGAACTTGAACTACAGTCGGTTTGGATAACTGCTCACAGGTGGTTTGACATATTATATTGAATTCTCTGTTCTCTATATAATAATTTTGTGTTAGAACTGATTTTATTGAATTAAGAAGTCATACTAAGGATAATAAATGATTAAAAAGACAGCACAATAATCAAATAAATACAAATAAATTAAATTTTAACATCATGTCTTTATTAGGCACAGAAGCCATACAGTCACTAGAATTTGTATATACATATTCAGGTACCATTCCACAGACCCAAAAAGTAGTCAGAAGTACTACGATGTGGAACAAGCCATAAAAAACAAAGCATGCATATAAAGTTTCACAAAAGAATTTTTGTTTAACATGCAGTATGGTGTTATACTGTATCATAAATATACAGCTGATAAATGATACAAATGTTTTGTTACATAGATTTTGCAAATCTGCCCTGATATGACATCTGGCTTTAATGCCACGAGTTAGGCTCCAAGTTGCCATTTTGGTTTTGCAGTAGTAGTATTTCTTCATTTTTCTTATACCAACTGTTTCATCTGGAATGGTTACATATATATATGGCAATCTTGTTTGTATTTATTTTTAAATTGTACTCTGTATGTTTTTTGTTTTGCCATCTGAAGCTATTGTTCAGGTGCCATACATACCACAGCAGAAGACATAAAGATACAAATATCACTCCTGCTACATTGTTTGTAGAAATCAGCATGACCATTTGGCAGCATGAATCATCCAAGGGAAACAATATAGGTGGGTGGGAGAATATGAAAATTTGTTTCTCTGTTTAGCAGAGGAGCTCATGTAATGGACATATCTTATTGTCTGATATTGAGGGAGTGAGGTATTCATGATAGTAATTTTGATTGGGCTTGGTTGGTATGACTTGGTTTATACAATGGGGTGGCTGAACAGGTGCTCACCAATCAAAAAACATTGTGTATAACTGCATTCACTCCATTGTTCCATTGTTAATGGTTACACTTCACTCATATAGCAGTCCTGTGAGAAATGTTATTTTGGGCTGCAGTACTGGGCAGAACATATTTGAAGCATCCATTTCTTTGTCACTTAAAGACTCAAAATAAATGATTTGAATAGTATGTTCTGGAATGTGGACTTTCTTCTTGTTGACTGAAGACATACAGGATGGGTTAGTGTTAACTTTAAATAACTTTGTAAGCAAAACTGCAAATATAATCAATGGAAAAATTCAATAAATGAGGCTGCTGCTTTGGAATCATTCATTATGATGAAAGTGCCAAAAAGAAAGCTCTCATTTTATAAGGCATTTGACATAAGAAATTAAGAGTGCTGACTATTTTGCTTGCTATAATGACATTTTCTTATATATAGGCTGTACTTGTTCTATCACATTTGCACTCTAGTTTATATTTAATATTTTGGATATTCTCTTCCCCAAAGTTTACCATAATTTTATTGTTCATTCACTTGGTAGTGTTTGTTCTCTGTAATCTAATTTCATTTTGTTCTTCCATTATGAATGAGTATGAAATACTGTGCAGTCTTTTATTTATTGTGTGAGTACAAATTATATAATCTGTATTTAGTATTCATATACAGTAGGGCCCCGCTTTTCGGCGCTCCGCTTTATGGCGATCCGCTAATACAGCGCTCAACAGCTGAGTCAGAGAAGTGTGTCCGGCGCCATTTTCTCGTCGCTGATTCAGTCTGTTTACAGCTTTTGTGCGCTCCGCGTCTCTCTGTATTTCTGGCAATTTTTCAGTTATTACAAACTGTATATTTATATAATATTTTTGTGTTACTACAGTGTAATTACAATGGCGTCTAAGGGTAGTAGCGATAAAAAGAGGAGTCGTAAGCCTCTTATTTTAAATGCCAAGTTAGAGATGATTAAACTTCGTGAACAAGGCATGTCTATGGCTTCCGAACCATCACCAAAACGAATAGGATTCGTTGAAGAGTCACATGATGAAGATGCGCCATCTCCTTCATCCTTCCTACTATAAGCATATCAATTTTCAAATTTATATTCACCAATCACTATAAGCTGAGGACAATGTGTGTATTACTGATATTCATTTAACTTTCATATCATTTTCTTAGGCCTAGCGCTATTGTGCACTTACTATATGATAGTGTAACATCTTATTAGGCTTTGATATGCATTTGCAAGTGAAAAAAGGCAAAGATCCGCTTTTTGGCGATTTTCGCTTTACGGCGGGGGTCTGGTCCCTAACCTGCCGTATAAGCGGTGCCCTACTGTATTCATTTTTAAATACAGCTTTCATTTAAGCTTCATCGTTTGGCTTACCTTTAATTCTTTTAACTATGCACACCACACCTTTTCATTTATGACTTGTTTTAATGTCAGTTTTTGGAATTTGTCTTCAAGTTAAAAGTCATCAGCTTAGGATCCATCCATCTTTGCTTATGTTTATTGAAGTTTAACGTGTGGGTTATGTTTAACTACGGAACTCAAGTCTGTATGCTTGATTGCCACTTTAGCCTCCAGAGAGGTTGGCTTATTCCTTTCAACCCTATCAACGAAGGTGGCCCTCCAGAAGCCAAGGCTCCAGTTGACATCATTGTGTGGCTCATTAAGACATGCATACTTTTTTAACCATATCAGGGCAGCAGTGCAAACTGGTCACGGTGTCCGTGCAGTATGAGGCTCAGGTCTTGTTTGCTTTGACACTAACCATGGGTTCAAATCCCACTCAATGCATGGATGTTTGTCCTCATCTTTCTATGTTGTGCTATCCTGTGAACAGGTAGAGGCCTTGCGATGGGCTGATCACTTGTCCAAGGAGACCTACCAAATGTCTAATGGATCAGGAAACCTCCAAAAGAAAGGCAGCAATGCTATCTGTTACTAGATCTGAGATAATCTGCCTTACCCAAATACTGAATTTGAGTTTTTTCATATCTGCTCACTTAAGCTCATAGCATTAAACAGTCACCGTATTGTAATTACATTCCATATGTTTATGACAATATTCCTTCTTAGTGGAGATACTGTATCTGGTACAACTTGTATTTATCACATTTTGTTTTCTAAATCTTGTTAATTTATGTTGTAGGTGGGAAGAGGAAAAGAAGGATGATGGCACAAAATGGAAATTCTTGGAACACAAAGGACCAGTGTTTGCACCACTTTATGACAGATTACCTCCTGACATCAAGTTCTTTTATGATGGTGAGTGGCTTTTCATGATTCTACCACATACGGTTTTGTCATGTGAGTGAATTATTAAGCACCGAGGTCTTTGTTCTGATATTTAACATAAAGTTCCGGAAAGAACTTAAAATGCTGCTGGAGCAAGAGCAAATGCAAAACACAACTGAATAACAAAGATAATGGAATCTGCTTGCAGAAAGAAAACACATAATTGAGGGCAAATTACCTCAAATCTAAATAAATAATCACGTTCATTTAATCACACATGTTTATTACTTACGTTTTGTGGCCTCCTGTCACTTGGGACATTTATATTTCCAACCACGCTTCCTTGGTTCTTGCATATTAATAGCAAATTTTAAGTTTTCTGATGGGGTACATGTAACTATAATGTGCCTTTTATCCCTAGAGCTTAAACCTGTTGACCTTGCACTATTCACTGCACTAAGCAGTATGCTTCATGGCCAACATGTGGAAACAGACACATTGTAGGAAACTTTTGTTGGTAAATACAGGTAGCCCTTGATTTGTGCCGGTTCAATTTGCGCCGATTAAGAATAATGCTGATTTTGAAACCAGCAAGTCAAAAAGTGAAAAAAAAATTTTAGTATTATTTATAATGTTTTACAATGTATCATGTACTAATTCTTATACTAAAATACAGGTAGCCCTCAATTTACGCCAGAGATGCGTTCCTGGACGAACCGGCGTAAATTGAAACTCTTTTATAATATAAATCAATGGGAAGTCAATGACATGCGTTCCCAGCACCCAAACATTGACGAGTAATATAATGACATTACATTTAAAGCTCTGAAATAACGTAAATGAAATAAAAGGAATTTAAAAAA